TGTGTTCGTTCCGTTGAATATGGTGTAGCTTAAATGGAGTTTTAACAAGCAAATAAAGACTTTAAATGTGATGTAGTCAAACTATGAAGAGAAATTCTTCTTTTACTTTATATCTACTTAAGCCAAAATGTAAAAGGAAAATTTGTGTTTAGTTGAATTGACTCAAACGTACAAAGCAACATCATGTATTTATTAAATATACTGTATTTCCCCCATTTTTATACAATTTATGCAATTTGGCAAGTCATAGATTATTTAAAAAACATTCTTGTTTGCACTCAGAAAACACAACACAGATGTGTGTTTCCTCGGGGAAAGGTGTTTTAGACTTTGGGTGCTGAAGCAATGTCTTATTGAAAATAAATTTTGATTGTCAGGGATTTCCCTGGAACATTACCCACTCAGCCATTATTTATAAGGTCCATGTCACCCAATACTATGCTGTGAGTGTATATTTACTTAATATATGTAAGGCTGTAATGAAAACTCATAATAATAATAATAATAATAATAAAACATGATAAATCTTCTCACAGGTTCCCCTGCTGCCCTTCCTCCCAGTCGCTAGTTTGTTCATCAACGTCTATCTGATGATGCAGCTCGGCAAAGGAACCTGGATGCGCTTTTCCATCTGGATGGCCTTAGGTATTTTGGCCAACAATATCAGTTATTTATCAGTTATTTATCAGTTATTATCTCTGTTGTACTTATCTTTTGGAGAGGAATTCATGTCTTTGCCACAATGTTTCTCCATCATTTGTAGGTTTCCTTATCTACTTCATCTACGGTTTTCGCAACAGTGCAGAGGCAGTGATGACCAGGTCTCATTCCTACACGCCAGCTTGCACAATAAAGGGAGAACCCATGGCCACGGAGAAGGAAGCCTTTCTACACAACACACAAAATGCCAACCTAGATGACGATGAAGATTCCTGAGGAAACGGGAGGTTCACTAATTCGTTCTGCATATCAAACATCGATGTGTTAAATTGTTTGAAATAGCTACAAATCCAGGAGACATATGAAGCCTTTTATGCTCCCCTCTTATCAGAGCGTAGAGTTGTTTCTCAATTTTGCAAAAAAATATTGTCAGGAAAGAAAATATTGTCTAATTTGGCTGTTTCACGTAAAAAAGTCTAATTAGATCTAAAGACAAAATTAATTTCTATACATCTGAAAACCAAGATTTTATTCCAGAAAACGTTTTTATTCTCCAGTTCAAAAGTATTTTTTATGCTCTGCATTTTGATATTATCAATTTTACTAAAGTGTTAGGACGGAAACGAAACAAAAGGCAAAACACAAGTCGTTTTATCAAAGTTTTACCACGGCATATGTTGTACATCTTTGTGGGGTTTTTTTTGGGTTTTTTTGGCAAAATTTGCATGCTTGTAAGCGATATCTCGGTAAATGTTTGTCAGTCGTCATGCTGCCTTAGGAGACACAGTGCCGGCTACTATGTCCTAAAGAGACACATCCCTTTATTCCACAACTTAAATAATAATACCTTTCGAACCTAGCTAAGAATTTAATTGTATCCTCAGTGCCTTTTTGTATTGTAGGGTTACCTCAAAGGTACCACTTTGAATGTAGATACTTTCCTCCTGAGAAAATGTACCGTATAGAAATCACAACTCTGTTTTTTTACAGTATAACAGTATAATATAAGAAATGCACCAGGCTGCTCAGTGTAATCTGGTACAATCATTTGTGAACAGTATATCTCTGTGTGAAAGGGTTGATGTTATGTGGATGTGTCTTCTGGCTGATTGGTGGTTTTCTCACATTTACCAGAGATCAAACACACCAGTGTTGTCATCATCATCAGGGACCTGCACTTTTTTTTTATCTAGCCAAAGAAAAAAAGCTGCTAATGTGAATTGATTTATAAGATACTTTAAAGGATGTATTGTGCCTATGTCCCAAAGGAATGATACACCTTTTTAGAGGTATGATATCACCAGCTAGAATTGTAAAATATACATATTGTCTGTATATAATTGTACACTTTGGATTTTGAAAAGCCTATATTTAAAATCTGAGAGAAATTTCACCTCAGTGGACCGTTTTCCACTGGTCACGTTTTTTGTGACCTGAAGCCAAATTCTGTTTAATTGGATTGTGTGTCGAAACAATGTTGCTATTTATTGAGTTGCTGTAGATTTTTTTAACTATGGCATTGGAGTTGCCTTCAAGTTAAAAATAATAGACAGCTTTGTAAATAAACAGTGTACGTAATTTTGTTGCATTTTAAGATATCAAAGCAACATTGTCAATGGCAATTGTGCTGCAGAAAGTTACTGTTTTCCGCCCATGAACTTGTAAATGCCATGCATTAAAGCAACTAGCCTTTATTTAAACAGGGAGATGTTTAAATCGGTGGGACATTACGAATGTTGTTCTTTACGTGCATCATTGCCTGTTTTAGAAATGCCAGTCATCGTTTTGTCTGTTTTTTTTTTGTTTTTTATAAATAGTTTGGATTTTTCTTAAAATTTACTGCCTACGTTACAACTTTCACTTAACCATATCAACCACCAGCATTAATCTATAAAATCTATTGTTTCAAGCATTATGTAAAACACAAACACAAACTGTGCCAACAGTATTGGAGCTGTTGTGATATATTTGTTTGACAGAACGAAGTAGCCATTCATTATGTGAGCAATGTCATGGAGCACTAGTTCCAGTGATGTATGCTTCTGTTATGGATTCTGCATTCTGTCTATTCACACTCATGTGAGGCTTCATCCACACTAATAAATACACACAATACACAAATACTTGGAAGTTTTGTCCATGACACTGTTTTATGTAAACATTTTCATGCTGCACCATTTTAAAGTTTTGGTATTTCAAACTTTAGAAAGCTTGAAAAAGGGATATTTAGATTTTTGTAGTAGAGGTGTTTTTAGTGTATCTGAGTGGTGAATGTCAGGTATTAAGCATGTGTTGTCTGAATGTTAATTAAGGGTTTGTATAGTTTTAAATAAATAATGCTCAAAGTTAAAGCCACAACCTTTGTCTTTTTATTTTTTGGAGAATTCTGGTGTGCACACTCCGCCAGCTTGTTACATAAATGGTTTGCATGGCATATCTGATTGTTCTGTGTTTTTTTTATTCTCCAGCGTCTTTTAGTATGTGTTCAGAATTGTTTTATTTATAAGTCATGAACATATCTTACTGTATCTATAAGTAATATTTGGATACATGGAGCACCTGGATTCGCTTCATTTGTGGTTTTGTTTTTTGAACACATCGTTTTCTTATACAACATTCAAAAAACAGCATATCGTTTGTTTACACAAATAGTAAAACCAGAAACTAAACAAAAAACCCCAAAAGCAAAATAGATAAGACAAAAAAAAGGGCTAGACAATTGTATAAGCATAAGTCCATATGATATTGATGACTGCTTGTAGCAGTAGTATATTGTTCCTAGATACATGAATATATAATATTGGGGGACAATAACAATAACAACAACAACAAAAAAACAGTTGTACAGTACAAAGGTTACACGCAGGTTATTTGCATTCAGAAAGAAGGTAAGAAATGTAGTCAGGTCAGAGTATCACCTCCAATATGAGGTTCAATATTAGTTTTCCACATACTCAATAAAGGGAAGCCAG